TGTGCGGTGACCTGCTTCAGCCAGAAGTGACAGGCGAGCATAGCTGCAGTCAGCACCTGATCCCAGAGGTGTTGGTGCAGGTTCCCCGGGGCTGGCCAGACACACAGGTATTTCCGGATCGTGGCAGAGCCTGCTGCCAGGAGCTTCCCGCCAGTGTGGTGGGTCCATCAGCGTGGGGCGTGAGCTCCAGCTTCGACTCCGGCAGCCCCGCGGGCCCTCCCGGCTCCTCCCATGACCCGTGTTCTGTGTTTCCACAGGGCCCCACCTTCCTATTTCTCCCCGGCCACAGCCCGCCCATCACAGTTGAGCAGCTGTTTGCCTGAAGTTAATTTCCAGAGGCAGGTAAGGACCCCAGGGGAAGGACTTCTGGTGGCAGGCCATAGGGTAGTGCTGGGGAGCGGGTCTGGGGTCTGGGCTGCGGGGCTCGAGTGGAAGGGAGCTCCTCTCGCTTCCTTCTGCCAAGCCCGCTACTGCTCATTTCTCCTGCCGCTGTGGGCCCTTCTCGTCAGTGCCGTGGCGTGGCTCGTTTCTTAAGGCTAAGATGTGTGCAGTCTCTGGATTAATATTTTGTGTCAGTTCTGTGAATCACAATTATATGATGTTGTTTTACATTGCATACATGTAAATGTACCTTTTTTAATGTGAGCATTTAAAATATATCACAACTTTTTAAAAAAATGGATAGAACAAAAGACAAGTGCTGGGACCCATGGAGCAGAGGTGGATTGTGTGTGTCAAGGATGCTCTGGCTGTCTGGCCCCAGCCTGAGGTGACCCACTGTTCTCCAAGCAGGTGTAAGAGCACCCGGGTATAAATGTAAATTCCAGTTTTATAAATGTGGGTATTCAAACAGCATGAGCTTCAAGTTTATAAATAAGAATGCGCGCAGGTGGCTGTGTTTGCATTCAGGGCCGCTTATGCCTGTCCAGAGGAGGCCGGCTTTCAAAGCTGTTTATCAGAATGGGCCTGATTACTGCAGGGGACACTCGGTGGTCCAGCTCTGGGGTTCCTCCTGCGCCACGGTTCTTCTAAAGTGACAGCCACTGCTTCAAAGCTGGAGACCGAGTTCTGGGAGAGGCTAGGTCCCTGCAGGGCAGGGCAGGAGCATGCTGTCTCACCTGTGGCCTCAGTGTCTCCCACGGAACGCGGTGTGGCCTCTTAGGCCATGGGCCACTTTGTCACTTTGGATCCCTCCTAGTGGTTGGGATCCCCGTCCCAGTCAACCTTCCTCCCACAGAGATGCAGGCTCAGAACCAACAGGAACACAGGGGTGTGGTAGGGAGTATGTCTGTGTGTGTGCGTCGAATGTATGTCCCTTGGTTTCCCCTGATTGCATTTGTCCCACTTGCAGATGTAAGTTCCTGGACTCCCCCCCACTTTTTGTATAGCACGTGGCTATCTACAGCAGCATCTGTAGCCGTGCGCCCTGCCCTCCCCATTCATTTGGGTAGTTGATGGTTTCCTGTTTCTGTTTTCATTTTCTGGCTCGTCTACATTTTTCCCTAGTTAGCTCGCACAGTGGTAGCAAGGAGAGGGAGCAGGTCTGTCTCTGACTCGGGCCGTTAACACTGAGACATTTTTCTTAGGACTTAGAATGGAAGTGCCGCCACTGTAGATGATGGGATGTTTCTGGACCAGCTGGGAGACCATAACTGAGAAGCACTGTTACCTTTGCCTCTCATGGCTCAAGTCTGCACAACTCCTGTGTCCAAATTAGTTGCAGTTTGGACTTAGGTGATTCAGACACATCTCACTGGAGCCCAGTTCTTCATCCCTACAGGGGAGAATACGGATTTTCCCAAAAGAAGTTAATCCGATACTTGTCAGAATGGTGATGAAAATTTAATAGCATGTTTGCTGGGATAGGCACCAAACCCAAACATGCTTTAATAGACTTGTAGCATATCAGCGACTGCAGTGTTTGTGTTGTTTGGGTTGGTCATGATTTACTCTCTTCAGTTATTAATTTTCTTCACATCGACCCCCTGATGCAGACTCTGTTTAGGACAGAACCATGTAAACCAGCCATGATGTCCTCTACTGGGCGGCCACGTGCGCTCGTGGCTCCTATGTTCTGCCCCAGATCCAGCCCTGGGTGTTTCCCCATGTCAGGCAGCAGGGCAGAAGCGGGTCAAAGTAGAGGTCGAAGAATACTAGAGAACCAGAATTTTTAGAAATGACGAGTCTGCCTCAAAGCAAGACTGTCTCTGCCAAGGAAGCTGAGGTGGGAGTAACCTGGCCCCAAAGATCCATTCAGGCCCCATGACACCCTAGGCCCATGGCTGGGTGGCGAACCGCCCCCCGCAGTAATCACAGTTTGAGTGTGGGGCCTCCCCCCGGACAGTGAGGCTCCAGTGGAAGACAATGGAATGACATCCATTTGTACAGGATGCCAGGATTTTTGGACAGAGCAAAATTCTGTAAAAATGGACCATGTAAAATGATTCACACACACTCAGGCTCATGGTCACACTCACACATTTCTGCAGGTTCCGAGCCTACCTCTCTATTGGAGGAAGCTTGGCTGGTCAGGAAAGGACAGTGAGGAAGGGGTCCCCAACCACGGGGAAGCCAGGACCCCTAGGTCCTGGGATGTGCAGCAAAACTAGATATGTATCTTTGCCTGAGTAGGGCCGGCCCCTGAATGATGAATAGATCTTGCTGTGGGACCTGGGACTGGGGTGTGGTTTGTGACATAGGATCAGAGTAAGGGCTTGAACCAGATGGGCCTGTTGGGAAGTTGGGGTGAGGGTAGGCGGGGAATCTTGCTGGAACTCTGGTTTTTTTGTGTGTGGTGACACCTAGTGGCAGGTCACCGGTCTTCAATGCTGCCTTTCACAAAGAGAGAGCAAACTGACCATCAGCCCTTGGACACAGGTTGGGGGTGGAAGATTTTTACTCCCCGAAGCCCTGACTCCCAGTTTGAAGGCTTTGTGGAGTGTTTTAGAAGGCCTCTGGAGAACAGGAGAGCCCAAGGCACTCCAGTTGCTCGAATGGGAGCCCTTTGTCAAGGCTCAGTTTGGGTTATGGAGACTAGGTACTCTGGTCAGTGTCAACACAGTGACATTTGCCCCTAAATCAACATGGATATTGTAGAGAGGGAGAAGCTTAGACACCACAGGCCATCCTGATTTTCCAGCCACCCAGCTGGGTGGTATCTGTTAAGTACCAGGCAGGGTGCTGGGCTATGGAGGACGGGGTGAGCTAAGTGGGCCCTGGCCCTCTAGTCGGGCAGGGGAGAGACGATAAGCAAGTACTCCAGCAAGACCCTCTCAGAAAATTGGGACTGGGCTATGTGACCCAGAGGGGTTTGGAGGGGTGAACACAGAACCTGCTTCAGTTATGCTGTCAGGAGAGGTTCCCTGGGAAGGCGTCTTTAAGCACGTTGAAGGATGAAAAGAAGCCAGCCCGGGCTCAGGGGGACACCCAGTGCAAAGGCTGCTGGGGGAAAGAGCTTCTTGGTATGTTCTAGAAATAGACTCGGGTTAGGAGGGCAGGGTGCAAGGGGAGGTGTGAGAAGGAGGCAGGGCTGCCGATGCAGGCCTCGTGGGTCCTTGTGTGGGACAGTGGAGTGGAAGGAAGGGAGGAGGGGTCCACGTGAGAAGTGATGTCCCACAACTGGGCTTTCCCACTCAGCTGGCTAGGGAGTTAGGGTTTGTCCGCTACACGGGGGATGGCGGGGCTGCCTTCCATCAGTGGCCCTCTGGAGGTGGCTTACCCCTTTTCCTGGTTATCAGTGTTCATTAGGCTTTTTTCTGAGCCCAAAGGAGGTGACAGGTGAGAAGACAGTACAATAGGGAGCCTGGGTGGGGGGAAGGATGTGGGGGGAAGGAAGGCCCCAGAAGGAGACATGCTACATCAAGTATACAGCTCTAAGTAAGCCCCAGCTTGCCAGCTTTTTAGCCCCTCGTGGGGACTTTTGGGCCAGAGCCCCTGTGAGCTTATGGGAACTGAGCGGTTGACAGGGACCTCCAGGGAGGCACTGCCCAGGGCTCTGGCACATTTCTGAGTCTGCCTTCTGCACAGAGAGCAGACCGGCCTGGGAGAGCCTGCTGGTCCAGGGCTTGCCGGCCCCTGAAGGATGGACGGCATGAGGAGTGTCCTTGGCTCGCAAGCCAGGTTCCCTTGGTCCTCCCAGCGCAGCTCCTTGGCACCAGGGCTGCCGAGGCTCCACCCCCACCAGCTGCTGCGTTATTTCTGACTCATCCAGGGGTTACAAGTGTGTAACCCAAACCCCTCCACGCCCGGCTTCCTCTCCGCCAGCTCCTCCTAGAGGGGGGAAGCCCTGGGACTTTTCTCCTGGGACCTTTCTGCAGGTCGGGTCCCTGCTGTCACCGGACGCAGCTGCTGCCTGCAGGGCGCTCCCCTCCGACGGGGGGTGGGCGCGTGAGGGTGACGGCCGTGAGCTCAGGTGGGTATCTGTGCCCCACAGCCCCGGCTTGCCTGTCCCCATCGAGGGACTCCTTGGAACCCAGCCCAGGCGCCAGCCTCTTGAATTCATCAGGGGCTTTTGCAGAGAGGGGCCGCCCTTGTGTTCGGGGCTGGGCCCCGATCTCTCAGTTTCTCCAGCCAGAGGCGCCGGCTGGCTGCCTCTGGTCATGTCACTTCTGCTCCTTGTGGAAGTTGCATGCTTTGAAAACCTGGGACACTTTGGGCTTCATTCAGCACATCTCCGGTGGCTCATCGCAGGGTTGTTGCTGAGGGGGTGGCTGGAAGGTCGAACTGGCCAGAAGTTCTGGGTCAGCTCAGTGCCCCGGGCCCAGCAGCTCCTCACAGAGGGTGCCAGCCCCCAGCGCCTGCTCCAGGACTGAGCCGCTCAGTCTGGCGGGCTGGGGCCAGCAGGGGTGACGCAGGAACAGGCAACTTGCCACCTGCTCTGGGCTCTCAGAAGCGGGACCCTGAAGCCCTGTGGGCTGCCTGACAACTCCTGCCGAGCACCCGGTCTGTGTCTGGTGTGTCGTCCTGACCCCCACTTCAGTGCCTCTCCTCGCCCTGCAGGAGTCCCCAGGGCTGGCCAGGGAATGAACCGCGAGGGGGCTCCCGGGAAGAGTCCGGAGGAGATGTACATTCAGCAGAAGGTCCGAGTGCTGCTCATGCTGAGGAAGATGGGATCAAATGTGAGTGCCTTCGGGGTGCCAAGCAACAGGTCCCCCAGGGAGGGTGCCTGATGTGGGCGGAACAGAGATCCGTAGCCACCTCCTGTGACAGCCCTGCTCTGGGAAGGGGGACGTGGAGCTTGTGGTTTGGCTCTGTGGCCAATTCTTGTCACCCAGAGCCCTGCCCGTCCAGTTCTGGGGGGGGGACTGCTGGGGTGGCCTTCCCATCCCTGTGCCGAGCATGGGCCGGGAGGGGGCGGTGTGAGCCCCTACAGGCCCTGACCTTACTCTCCTCCTGTCTCCCCAGGAGCTGTCCAAGGGGCGCTGGGCAGGATGGTCCCTAAGAGGACAGCATGATTCAGAAAGGGATGGGCTCCCTGGGCAGGCCCCGTGCTGCACGGAACCCAGTCTCAGATCTGATCCGAGCGGCAAGGCCTGGGGGACCACGGGCCAGGCTTCGGGGTGGGGGCAGGGGGTGCTCGCTCTGGAACTGAAGGGTCAGGACTCAGGAACAGGGACCCTGGGATAAGAGGAGGAGGTACCTTCGGGGAGCCCGTGCGTGCCGCCCCTCACCCGTGGCTGTCTCCCCCTTGCAGCTGACGGCCAGTGAGGAGGAGTTCCTGCGCACCTATGCGGGGGTAGTCAACAGCCAGCTCAGCCAGCTCCCCCAGCACTCCATCGACCAGGGTGAGTCCCGGCCAGGGTGCCCAGCCACGCCCTTCCCAGAGGTGCTAAGTTGTGGTTCTTGGGGAAAACTTAGCTCCTGGGGCGCATGAGGAGGGGCTGTAGCTGCCTCCCATCCACAAAGCTGAACCCCAAGCCTGGGCCCATCTCTTTCCCCAGATGGGAGCCGAGGACCCCCTCAGGTAATGGTGGGATCCCCCTTTCTAGGCCTGGAGGAGCCGAGAAATCGAGGCATCTGGGAGCCCCTGAGACTGCAGAGGCTCTGGGTTTTTGCATTTCCTCAGTCTTTGGCTTGACCCCCGCCAACCCAGCACCTGGTGCAGGGAGAGCGTGAAACCACCCTCATGGCCTAGGACCTGTCCTGGGCACGGCCGTGCAGGGGCTTGTGTGTTCCTGGCTGCACCCAGGCAAGAGGCCCCAAGGGCTCTGTGTCCCTGAGGTCTCTGTCTGCCCGGGGGAGTCATTTCCATTTTGGGTGCCCTCACCTGATCATAATAATGGTAGCAGGTAACACTCAGGTATTTATTGTCTAGCAGGCACCTGCTGGGTGCCGGACACACATCATTTCATTTACTCGTAGAGAGGTACCGGTGGTATTACTTGCACTTCACAGGCAAGGAAACGGGTTCAGAAGCAGTAAGGGATCGCCCTGGTCTTAACAGCCGGTTAGCAGAGGGCTCAGGATGCACAACCTGCTGCCCAGCTCAGGGCAGGGCTTGTCCTGTCTGTCCTGGGGTAGCAGGAGGCTGGGCACTTATGGGCTCTCCCATTCTGGAAGGCTTACTCTCACCCTGGAGCCCACAGTGTCCTCACCGGCTCTTCCATCTAGTCCTTTCCTTTTATTTTTTTCGCCTCATTGGCATTATCCGCCATGAAATAGTGCGGCCTGTGGGGCATCAGATGTGAGCTGGCTCCCGGCAGCGGAGCGCCGAGGGGCATGTGGCTGATCCGTGGGGCCCGGGAGGAGAGCAGGTGTAGCACGAGAGGCTGCTTGTCTTGAAGCTGTCCTTGCTCTCCTGGAGATCACAGGCCTCAGTTCTGGCGCAGGGCCCGGCTCCCCGGCTCTGACGCCGGCTGTCACCTGGCCTGTGCACCCAACTCAGCAGAAACGTACAGGGCGTCCCCATGGCTCCGGCAGCTCCCGAGACAGCCACTTGCCAAGCACAGCCTGCCTGGGTCATGCTCATGCCGCCGCCTGTTCTGTACCAACGGCCAGGGGTGGAGTCTGCCCCTCCTGGGGTTTGTTTCTTTCTCACCCATGGCTGATCTGGGTTTCCAGCACGGGCCCACGCAGGCCCCCTAGGTTCCTGAACCATATCTCCCTGAAACCCTCAAGCTCCTGGGTCCTTAGGACATTGCCTTTTCTCCCACCCCAACTTTAAGTCCCTGAATTAACCAGAATTGGGGCTGGGTGATAAGGATGCCTCTAGGAGAATGCTCTTCAAGGAAAAAAATCATAATAAGTTGTAGAACTGTATGTCATTGTAGAAAGCACCCCCCCAACACACATACACTCACACATGTATGTGTATGGGGAAAAAAAGCTGGAAGAACATAGACCAGGCTGTTAATAGGAAATTTTAATAGAGAGTAGAACTATGTAAGGGACTTTAACTTTCCAAGTCACACGTTTTTTGAAAACTAATTTTTTAAAATTTTTTTATTGTTGTGTTAATCACCATACATTACATCATTAGTTTTTGATATAGTGTTCCATGATTCACTGTTTGTGCATAACACCCAGCGCTCCACGCAGAACGTGCCCTCTTTAATACCCATCACCAGGCTAACCCATCCCCCCACCCTCCTCCCCTCTAGAACCCTCAGTTTGTTTTTCAGAGTCCATCGTCTCTCATGGTTCGTCTCCCCGTCCGACTTACTCCCCTTCATTCTTCCCCTCCTGCTGTCTTCTTCTTTTTCTTTTTCTTAACATATGTTGCATTATTTGTTTCAAAAGTACAGATCTGTGATTCAACAGTCTTGCACAATTCACAGCGCTCACCATAGCACATACCCTCCCCAATGCCTATCACCCAGCCACCCCATCCCTCCCACCTGAAAACTAATTTTTTAACATTGCACATGCATTTCTTCTGTAATAAGGGGAAGTTTAAAAAAGCATTGAGAGAACTCTCTATCTCACCTAGCTAAGCCAGCAGTTGAGAATAAAAATGAACTGTGTGGAGTTAAGGTCATGATAGCCTCACCTGGCCTGAAACTGCAGAGCAGTGAGGAGTGAGCCATGGGCATGTGGGTGTGACCCCAGAATCTGGGCCCTCCTAGTTGTGGGGTGTCCGAGGGACAGCCAGGCAGGCCACAGAGCCATCTCCCCAGGGAGCAGGCTTCTGGAGCTGCACCAGGGCCCAGCTGATGTCTGGGGTGATTCTCTGCTGTTGGGGCCCCCTGCCTGCTGCCCTGGGTCCCCACGGACTCCCCTGAGCTGAAATGCACAGGAAGACACGCTGCTGCAGGAAGTCCTGAGGATTCCTGTGGACTGAGTTGGGGGTAAATGGGCAGCTGTGCCTGGAAGAGCTTTAGGAGGGTAGCATTATTTTTGTGTGCCTAAGGACACCGCAGACAGATGCACAACACAACAGCAGTCGGTACAGTCTCTCCCGTCGTGGGGGCACAACCCTGGGAGCAGGACCCTGCGTCTCTGCCCACACTGGGGGGCCAAATGGGTCTTGACTAACATTCTAGCCTGCCCACCTTATCTGTTGGCAGGGCCGACCTTAGCTGATGCCACAGGGATGCTGCTGGCAGGGGCTCAGGTGCTGTCCAAGTGGTAAAAGTCCTGGATCATTGCTTCCAGTGCATGGGATCCCAGCATAAGAGACCCGCCCCCCGGCCTGCAACAAAGGCCTAGGAGCAGTCAGGGTGACAGTCTGGGCTTGACAGTCTGGCAGAAATCTGGTGTGAGCACCTCCTGCCACGAGGTGGCACTGTGTCTCAGCAAATGCCCAGCGCTAGTCTGCAAGAGACAGAACAGACTCCTTGAGTTCCCCTCAGTGGGGGTCTGAGGCCACCCACCAACAGGACAGAGCTTGGCATTGGTCTACCATCGTAGACTCACACACGCTTCCCCTCTGGGGCTGGAGAGGTCTGGTACTGGGAGCCCTGCTGGCTCTCCCTAACCCCAGGGAGGAGAGAGGGCTGGGCATCCCTTGCCCCACGCCCGGGGCCTCCCGCCCTCCTGGTCTTCCCTTGGTGAACTGTGAAAGTGTGTACAGTATCTGCTGGGTCCGGGCAGGTGCCGGAGACCGTGGTGTGTGGGCCTGCACTGTAGGGACTCCCTAACCAGTGCTGGCCTCTGCTGGGCTGAGACCTCCCATGATAACCTCCCTTTGGAAGCCCTCCTTCCCCTCCGTTGTCTTCTGTGATACACCTCTCTCTGTCTCTCCATCTCCCCCAGCTCATCTTCTGCCCCTCTCCGCTCACTGTCTGTAAGTGCTCCTTTTCCCGCACCCCACTGGTGCTTTCCACATTCTGCCCTCCCTTCTGTCACACCTCCCCTCTGGGGGTCTCACAGGCTCTGGCCAACACCCTCCAAATATATACCCTCAGCCCAGACCCTCTCTTGAGCCCCCAGAACTTTACATGCAACTCCCTCCTGATCATCTTGCCACAGACAACCCACACTCAGATCCAGATTCATGCTCTACCCCCACGAATCTATTCTTCCGCCTGTATTCTCAGTGACGGATATATCACCAAATAACCAGTGTGCCAGGGACTCCTCTTTGAAGTCCCGAGTGTCCATTGAGTTACCAAGTCCTTGTAATTCTTCTCCCTTAATACTTCTCAAATCTGCTCTGTCTTCTCCACCTTGGTTTGAACCCTCATTTTGTTCAGAGCTCATACTCATTTTTGTCTTGATCCCTGCAAGCAGTTCCTGGCATTTTGCCTTCTCACCTTGCCCCTCCCGTGCACTTCCTACCCCTACCTCAGCAGGTCTTTCCCCAACTTAAAATCTTTCAGTGGCTCCCCACTGCCTTGCGGCTGAAATCCAGCCCCTCACGTGATCAGCAAGATCCCCTGACACGGTGGCCTCATGCACCGTAAACAGCCATAGCGAATGGCTTTCAGCTCCTGTCTCAGGCTGGTCTTTGTGCCTCTGCGTTTGCCTCTGGGCTGCTGGGAGCTCAGCCCTGACCCCCAGCCTTCCCCTGCCTCTCGCAGGCTGGGCCAGGCCTCCTGTGGTTACCATCACACACATGTACCCCAGCTGTTCTTCTCCTCACACTGTCTCCTGGTCCGTCTCTTGAGCAACTCTGAGCCCCTTCAGCTTGGGACTGTGGCTTCCCCTCTTGTATTTCTGGGGCTGGACCCCCATGAGGCCCAGGGCATGCTTGTACAAATGAATGGACCAGGCTGTGGGTCTGAGGGCCCACCGTCCCCCAGAAAGGCAAGAATGTGGGGCCAGTTCTCTGAGCACTGTCTCCTACTCCGCCAAGGTGGCCAAGCAGAGCTGCCGGCGAGGCAGGACTGACTCTGAGCCAAAGGAGATCAATACCTTTCTGGCAAGGTCGCCTTGGTGAGAAAGCCAGCTGGAAACATGGGGGTCGAGAGCTGTAGCTTCCAAAAAGCAGGCTCACCAGAATGCTGAGTTCATTCCTTTCTTATTGCTGGTGCTGCTCTCTCCATAACACATATTGATCTTTTTTCCTGGTTATAAAATAACGCACAGTCATTGTTGAAAGCGGGGAAAGGGAGAAGTAGCAGAAAAGCTGGACGGATTGAATCCGACCACACGGCTGCAAGCACTATTACCTCCTGCTCAAGTTCCCATCAGCCTTTTAAAAATAGGCTTGTATTGGGGCGCCTGGGTGGCTCAGTCGTTAAGCATCTGCCTTGGGCTCAGGTCGTGGTCCCGGGGTCCTGGGATTGAGTCCCACATCGGGCTCTTTGCTCGGTGGGGAGCCTGCTTCTCCCCATGCTTGTGCGCTTGCTCGTGCTTTCTTTCTTTCTAACAAATAAATAAATAAAATGTTTAAAATAAAATA